CCGGTACCATCACCGAAACCGTCGAAGGTGCCAAGCGCAAGCTTGAGGACCTTCCCAAGGCAAAGGCCGAGCTCAACCCTCTCTGGGGACTTCTCACCGAGCCTTTGTTCCAGATTCTGGCTGCCGTCGGTCTTTTGCTGACTGGTGTCCTGAACCTGGTTGGTCGTCTTCTCAACGGTCTCGGCCTCGGCAAGATTGTCGATGGTCTGCTCGGAACCCTCGGTCTCAACCGCCTGCTGGATGGCCTCGGCCTCGGCAGCTTGACCAAGGCTCTTGGTGGCGGCAAGAAGAAATAAGCGCATGTAATGATTGCATGATTTGTTGTCTTCGCGCGTTGGATCTATCGGATACTGTTTTGACGATGATTTACGGACGTGTAATTTCTTTGGCGTGTCATTTGTACGGCATTTCGGGGCTTTCTAGCAAAAATGTTTGGATCCGGTCTTGTAAGAATAGCAATGGTGTTTAGTAGTCTTAGCGACCAATTTGTACGGCCTTTCTAGTTATTTGTTGTTCATGCTTGTTGATTCTAGTGTTTCTTCGTGATCGTATGTTGCTATCGTGAAGCAAGCTACGGCTTAAGCTTGGCTGAATCGCTGAATCGGAAAAAAAGCTGTTTGGGTGTGTTGGGATAAGAGAAACAATCGTGAGGGAGTGAAGTCAAAAAAAAAAAAAGGTAGAGTTTTCCTTCCGACGGGGTCGCACCTTGTGCCTTCCTTCGTCAAACAAACAAAGGTCGTGTGGCAGGTGGGCAGGTGCGAGGCGCAACCTTCCCGGTGGAAGTGCGACTTAAGGTACAAGGCACAAGACACTTGAGGCAGGGACCACCCATTGTTGTTGATCCCAATGACTCCATCACCCCCAACCTGCCCTTTCCTCCCTTTACACTCTGGAGTCTGAGTCTGAGGTGGGCTTTGCCTTCCCTCTTTCGGCTGTTTCTGGTCTTAGCTTGGAGCACCTGCCGCGAGACAAACCCGCTCCTTTCCCAATTCGACAAGGCAAGCAAGAGCCGCCTTCCCAGTTACGGACTCGTCGTTGATGATCGTCAACTCGTCGCTTCCTTCTTCGCTCGTCTTATTGTCCGTTTGGCATCTGCCGCTTGTTCTTAGCCAACTTTTTATTGCAGCTTGCCCCATCCGTGTGTTGTCCATGTGGCTTCCCGTCCTGTCATCCCTTGAATCCCGTGCATGTGCCGTGTTTACTAGTAGCCCCCCGTTTGTTCGTGGATCGAAACATTGCAAGCCGATCCGCCATCATCCACGGGCCATCTCATGGGCTTCAAAACCGCTCGGCCGAGGCAGTGAGACATGACACCACTTTCGTGCTTCCTAAGCCTGAGTAAATCACCAATAGTCGCATTTCCAATATCCCCGAGTTCCAAACAGACAAGCAAGCCCGTCCTTCTGCCATGATTACCATCAACGATGTGCCTGTTTTGCCCGTTCGGGTGGTGTGCCCCGCGATTTAGACTTTTTCTTACTATTGCTTCCCTTGTCCATAACGCCCAAAAACAGGGACCCCGAAATGCCCCAATGCTCCCTTAATATCGTGCCGAAGGGCTGAAGCCTGTTTTTTGCGATGCTCCAGGCCGCGTGGTGAAGCCTGGAGGGCCTGGAAGGGGCAGGTTTCTATTAATTAACCATGGCACCCTCGCACTCCTCGCAACATTCAGGGCAGCATTTCTCTCCGTGTTCATCTGGATATGCGGGAGCGTTGGGGATGGGACGACCATAATCACTTGGCGCGCCCCACTGCATCACAACATGGGAATTATCGAATTGTTTTGGCTGCACCGCTCGAGTTACAACACAGTCAACATTCGACCGGCTACAGACCGGCATCGACGAACGGATACTATACCAAAGTCCCATAGTCCACGAACTTTGGATCCCCGTATGAAGACACGGCACCACACACGGCACCACACGGCAGGCAGCTACTCCTCCGACTGATATTTGATTCGACTCAGGATGTGTCTGAGGCGGAAACATGAGACATCCTATTTTCCGACAATTTGCAGAGGAACCACGACTTTGCTTTTTCCGTACCTTTTAATCTCACAGCGAAGACGATCCGACCCCACCGATGGGACAGAATATGAGAGACGAGACTCACGAGAACGATCTTACCATCAGTCGACCGCGATGACAGGCGTCACCTGCGATGCAAGCTACCGCGACACGCACCTCTAGGTCCCTAGCCCAGTACCGGAAGGCGTCCGCTCCGGTCGGCTACTCTCCTAGCGACATTCTTCAGCGGGCCCTCCGCTGTCGTCCCCCTTGCAGCTCCTGCGCTCCGTCTTTTGGATTCCCGCCGAGCTCGGCGATATTCCCGCTCACTATCCGGACCCATCAAACTTTGACAATGCTTGCTGGTAGATTAGATAAGATAACGGATAAGACACCTCAGCCTGGACAGCTTTATCGATAAAGCAAGCCATCGAATCGAGCGAGCTTTCCCTCCTCATCCTCAACAAATGGAAGGTGACGTCAAACCCAACGCCGCCCCTCGAGCTCCAAGCACCTGCCCGTCACCTTTCATCCAACCACCAGCGCACCACCACTCGCATGCCGCATGACGGCATCAACATGTCAACCGCCGCAATCAGCAACCAGCTGCTAATCCCCCCTCATTCGACCATGTCCCACCACTCAAAGAGCGCCCTTCTCTCTACCTCACCGAAGAGCACAAGGTAGGTAGAGGTCAGAGAAGCGCCTCCGTGCAACGCCCCTCCATTGACGCAAGAGCCCCTCCATACTGAGACTGGACCGGCCTCTGGCCCCTCTTTCCTCGTCTGGATGGATATCGTAAACGTGATGTAGAATGATGTACCACAGGAGTATTCCGTCCGTCCTAGCATAAGCCGTGAGCTACCTGCCTTAGCCTTCGTATTTAATCCATGTCTCTCCATTCCTAAACGTGTCTCTCTTCTTCATCCACCAGCCTCATAAACCACCACACGACCAACCCATTCCGTGACAACTAAACTATTCAGTCACCTCAAACCAAACTCCCACCTTACACAATCACTCAAAATGCCTGAAGGACGTCAATCCCCCGAGCCTGAACGCCAAACCGGCGCCCAGCAACAAGACCCCCCCGCCTCAGGCAAGGGAACCGACAACGCCTCCAACAAGGAACAGACCAACAAGGAGTCTCTCGATGTACGTTTCCCATCCCTCATTATCAATTATAGCCAGTCCGCGATACGTGTTCAGAGTCTAACCGGATCTCCCCTCATCACAGAAGCTAGAGTCCAACCCCAAGGGACCCCTCGATGACGCCCTCAAGGAGAAGTTCTCCAAGACTCAGTAAAGAAACGGGCATAAGCGTCGTTAGTGGCATTTGTACAAAAAGGCGTTGGGAACATGAGGCAATGACATTGCATACTGCGATAGTGTGTGAGGCTGTATTCTAATTACCTAAACTGCTCGAGAAGCATCTGAAACCACCATCGTCCACTTTGCCGTGAATTCCAAAGATCATCATGTCCTGCCTAGTCATGATGTGCGTAGCATGTGGCGTAGGAAATGGCACCGCCGGAATCGAGCCAGTCTGACTTATCCTACACCATCTCGACTACGGTGTCAATCGCCCAACGATTATTTTGCAAAAGTTTGCCAACCACCATGGCCCAAAGCGTCCAAAATTGTAAGGTTTCTCGTCATCCATATTAATCCAAACACGATGAACTCACCTTTCACGAATCAAGGACGGAATCACCGGCATGATTCAGAAGGGCAATACACACAGCCAGGCCAATGCAGTCACGTCAGATTTTAAAGTCCAGCGAGTTGGACAAATGCTCGATGCTTTGATTTGCATTCAAAGTCATAACTACCTAAGTGCCAAGGGAAATCACACGCGTCGCAATCATGAAACGTTTGTGCTTAATGAACCCAGCCAACGCCTGCCTTCGAAACCTTTTGCAAACCAGTTCTCATCACTCTTTTACAAGGGAGTCTTCTCGTCGGTGGCGGCCGACGGCTTAGATAGAGGAACAGCTGTCGTGGGGTCGGGTTGGATGGGAGATTGAGTGCCGATGGTCTCGCCAGTGGCAGCGGGGGCAGCCTTCTCCTTGCCGAGGAATCTCTCGAGACCGGAGGCCTTGTAGGCGCTGCCGCCGTGCTCCTCCTTCTTGAGGTCGGCAAGGCGACGGGCCTCGGTGTGAATGTCCTGCACCTGTCTGGAGCCGGTCTCGTAGAAACCAACAATCTTCTTGCCAGTGGGCGTGCTGGTGGCCTTCTCAAAGTACGAGCTGAGACCGCCAAAGATGCCCTGGGCCTTGGCAGTGATGCCGTAGGACTGGTCCGTAGCCTTGGCACGGTCGGTTGCGTGGTACTTGGAGTCAAGACCTTGGAGGGTGGTCAAGAAGCGGTTGGAGACACCGTGCTGGCTGTCGAGCTCGATGGCGCGCTGCAGGGCGGCATCGCCGACAACATATCCTTGAGCAAGGTACTCGGCAAAGATGCGAGAACGAGGCTTCTCTTCTTGTGTGATGTCGTCCGAGTCGCGGTCGGCGTTCTCCTTGTGGTGAGGAGCATCATCGGTAGGGTCGCCCCCAGCGCTGGTGACGGTGATGTGAGAGGTGCCGAGCTGAGTGTTGTTCAGGAGAAGAGCCGTCTTGGCAGCAGTCTCCTTCTCGAAAGTGACGGCAGCATCCTTGGTCTCGCCGGCGGGAGTAACCTCAATGTTGGTGATCTTGCCGCTGCAAAATGTCAGCAGTTGTTCAATTGGAGCTGCGGTAAAAACAGGGGTGGGTATCAGGCCATGGAAGAGACGACAGGATTGAACTTACCAGAAACTAAAGAAGTCCTTGATCTCCTTGTCCTCGGTCGCCGAAGCGATGTTCTTAACGTGAACGGTGGTGTTTGACATGATTGCGGTTGTTTGGCGTTTGAAGTTATTGAGAGTGTTGTGAGAAGTGTTGTAGGAGGGAGTTTTGTGAGGGGTAACTGGAGACTGGATGGGGTATCAAGGGCGGTTATGTACGTTGTCTCTCAAGTTGGAGGGGTATCTGGGGAAAAGCAGAAAATGAATCGAGCAGGAAGAACGTGGCTCGAAATCGTGTGGATGATGGGTTTTATGTAAAAGCTGAACGTGTCTGGATGGGAATGTTGGAGGCGAGTACCTATGATGATCAGACGAAGGGTCATGAGAACGCGCTTTACCTTTTAGCCAAGGCAGGCGACGAAAGAGCAGCCATCCACGTCCCGACATGCCAGCCCAGACTCAGGGACAGAAGGGGCGGCCTCCAGCTGGTGACGATGCTGGGCACCACAAAGAGCAGGGGCCCTGTTGAGAGAGTGAAAGAGGGGCTACCCGGTGGTAGCTGCCCTGTCTGGCTGGGCATCGAGGAAGCAAGTGCAGGAGCCAGAGCGGCAAGCAAGGAGCAGGGGCCAGTCTGGGCCCAGTGCCAGCTTCCATCATCAGAGGGGGAAAGTGGACCAGGAGGGGGCGAGGTCCAAACGTCATCGCCTGCGGATTTGAAGAGCTCGTGCCAGGAGTGGGGAGAACTGTGGCTGTGCTCCAACCAGCAGCATGGAAGGAAGCCCCGCTGACAGAGCCACACTCCAGCCACGTATCTCTCCCACCCAATCTTGCAGCTGAGATACCTTCACATGCTTCTTCTCCAATCATCCCACCTACTGGAAGGCTCCAGAACATCAGACGACCCTGACATCCTCCCTTCATCCCATTCTGAGCGACACAGATTCCCCAACGAAAACACAAGGGACTAAGGTAGATGACGCTCTTCGGTACGGATACGACGCGACTGCTCTGAGGGTACACTGCGACACTCCCATCCAGTTGTGTTGCGACGCGACGACAGGGCGACGCGGCTCGTGGCTGGCACTTCACATCTTCGCATCCAGCATGCATGGAAGAACTCAGAACTTTCTCATACTCGATACCCCGCGCAACGTCGTCTCATCTAACTACCCTGGCTTACCACCATCATCCCTTATGGCTCTGACGTTCCTAGACCTCCCAGCATCACATCTGACGCCTTCTGGCTAATGATAAAGGTCGCCACGGCAGGGAATGCTCCGGGAGCCCGCGGGAACACGCTCGCGTCGACAACCCTGAGCCCGTCCACGCCAAACACCCGAAACTCGGAATCCACCACCGCCATGCCATCATCAGCCGCACCCATCTTGCACGTCCCTGTAGGATGATGCCCAAAAGTCTGCTCCCGGATCCAATCCTTATCCGACTCCGGGTTCGCATCGCCGCAGCGGCCATTACTCTCGACTTGCGCACACGGAGGTTCGGCCGGATCCACTGGACCCCACGGACCTTGGACGTCCCGCATGCTCCGTCGGCCCCACGCCACTACCTCCGCTAGTGCTTCAAGGTCCGTCTCGGCGCCTTCCTTGTACAGCTCAAAGTTGATCTGCGGCGGTTCCGTCGGGTCTGCGGACCGAATCTTGATGTATCCGGCTGTGTTCTGCGGATGCATCTTGACTGTTGAGAAGCCAACGGTATTCGGCGGATCGAGGAGCTCCGGCTGCTGCACCTCGGGCCAGAACCCGCGGAACGCCCTTGGCCAGCTGAAGACGAAGACATCTCGCTCTCCGGTCAGCGAAAAGTTGGACTTAAGAAGCAACGCATTCGAGTTGTATCCTGGCCGCATGTACGGGCCCTTTCCCTGTCGCCACAGCTCTTCACATGGGTCTCCGGGGCTTCCTTTGGCGCAGATTGGCTCGTTGGGATTTGGAGTAGCCGTGAGGTTAAGTTGAGCGTGGCCCACAACCGGGAATTCTTGGTTGTCTTGGAGGTTTCGCCCCACGCCCGGCAAGTCTGCCACGACCTCGATGTCGAGAGCTTCAAGGTCCGTTTTGTTTCCGATGCCGCTGAGCTGTAGTAGCTGGGGCGAGTTGAAAGCACCGCCTGCAACAATGACCTCCCGAGATGCCATTACTCGTCTTGTCTCGCCTGTTGTTGACGCGTTTCGCCGCACGTCGGCACCGTACGTGGAATTGCCCGCCAAATACTCAACGCCCACGGCCCTAGGCTTTCCACCCTCCGTCTCTTCAAATAGGACTTTCGTGGCCAGAGAATTCGTCGACAAGGTTAGGGGCCACTTAGGAGAGCCATCTGCGTTCTTGGCTGCCAGCGTCTCATAGATGTACGTGCGAGAGCTGTACCGCTCCCACTTATTCGTGGCATGAAACGACAGCCCCCACATGCCCTCCATTGTGTCTCTATCTTCGCTGAGGAAGTTCCCGTCGCTGCCCACCATCTCGATGAGCTTCTCCGGGTCTTTCTCAATAGACCGCAAGTGCGACTTGAGAATGTCCATGAGACCAGGGTTATTGAGATACTGTGACCCATTGCCTAGATTCGTGTTAAAGTAGCCGTCGAACCCGTGACCCGGCGTGCCCTCAGGGAGATAGTTGTTCTTCTCGATCCTCTCAAAGATTTGACGAATGTTCTTGTGGCTTTCCCCACGCTTAAGTTAGATATTCCTGTCCAAATTTCTTAAGATGCCTTCACAATCACGGAATCAAAACTCACTTCCATGAATCATCCCCCGTGACATTCTGCACAAAATCCCAATCCGAATCATTAGGCAACCACGTCGCCATCGCATTCGTCACGCTCGATCCTCCCACCGTCGCGCCGCGCGGGTACCACACTCCCAACAACTCTGCCCCCTTTGGCGCCCTCGCCGCGTTGCCGACCCAGTACGGTCCGATACCAGTTCCATTCTGCGAGGGCAGCCGCCACGTGAGGTGGTTATTCCGCAGCTCGACCTCGTCATCCGCGTGATGCCGTACGAAAAAGGACCAGCTGTTGCTCGGGGTGATGAAGTACCCGCCGTTGGCGATGACGGTGCGGATGTCGTCGCGCTCGTCGTCGCCTGCTTCGAGGAGGAGGGTTGGGTGGCCTGCGCGGGCGAGGTTGCAGGCTAGGGGGCCGCCTCCTGGGCCGGAGCCGATTACGATGTAGGTGTAGGTTGAGGTTCCGTTTGGGGCGGATTGGGCTGTGGTCGTGAGAGGGAGGTTGAGGAGAAGCAGGGAGAGGAAGGTTGTGAACGCTGTGATTGTGGAGAGGACCATGATGTGTAAGGCAGGTTGATGCTCCTGGAATAGTACTAGAGATCGTGAAGAGGAGTCTTTGAGGTGGGGTGTGAAATTATGAACACTGAACTGATGCATCCGACCTTAAATAGCCATGATTCTCCCACATGTCCTTTGCCGTCCTCTTGCCCTACTTTCAGAAGTTTTCCATGATGCCTCTGTAGATCGTGGCTCCCTTGTCTCGCTTAGACATCTCCCCCGCATGAGGAAGAGCTCCCCAAAGCCCGATCTACATCCCGATAAGCTTACCGGTGCCTTGGCGGGTGTAACCGTTGCAACGACAAGGTGTCGATGCAGCTTATGGTCGACGCGGGGTTCAACCCCGATTGGGATTTACGAGGCGCGATGTTCCTCTCCCTGCAGATGGTAATGACGGGTTCTTTTTCTTCCCGAACGGCTTTCACGAAAGACACATTACTCCCAATGTCTGGCTTCCTTTTGCCGATGGTAGTAGTAATGTTTTGTCATGTAGAACTGCTCCCTTACTCAGCCTCGAGTAAACTGATGGAAAAGGCCATTCAATTGGGGCGACAGAATTCCAGGGGAGCCAATGGCATTATCTACCTCCTATGCTACCAGGGCCGTCGTCTTTGCAACTATAGGTATCCAATTATCATATGGAGAACGGGAATCGACCATCTTCACGACATAAAGTAGGCCAGATGACTAATACTCTTTCGACTTCATCACGCGGAAGGTACGACCTTGATAGTGGTGATCGCGCCTTCCAGGTTCCCTCCCGAGCCCTCGTCAACCGCACCTTCCATCTGAACGCACGAGAAGGGTATATACCCCCCCTCAAGTCCAATTCCGTCACCAGCCAGCAGGCGCCCCCTTGGGGGTCAGGTCAAAACTGGCTGGTTGGTGGAGTGGTTGAAGTCCACGAACAGCCTAATCGGTGAAGGCGAAGAGGTCCCGTGTTCGAGTCCCAGCATGTGCGCCAGAGATGTAGCCCCCAGCTCGCCACCGGGGGGGTGAACTCTTTTGTTTTCGTGTTTTTTGGAAGGCATCTAGACATGGTAGTTAGAATCATGATGTATTGTGCTGCACTATCTCACTTCTGAGAGGCTACAGCCTGCCTGTCTAGATATCAGTCAATGACATTTGGTTTTGGTTGCAGAATATCGACTTTATATGCCGTACTACATGATGGGAGACATTTCAACCTGGGGCCGAGTAACCTCTTTCAAAGAATGAGACGAGACCTACTAGCGCTCGACAGAACCGTTGACGTTAACGACAAGAGGCAGTTGTCAAACGCAGGCGAGCAGAAGAAGAAGCGCCTTATGGAAATCGTCGAGGGATGGAACGGCGGCTTTTTTGAGAAGCGCGGCCTCGAGGTTGTGCTCAATGGGCAGGATGATGCTGCCGCCCCTGCCGCTGTCTCTTCTACTGACGGCTCGCGGTTCAGCTTTGGTCCCACGAAGTTTGGGGTTCGGCTTGCCGGAGGGATGTTTGGTGTGGATTTGTCGTCTAAGAAATCTTCTTCTGAGAAGTAGTCGACTGCACTTGTTTTCGATGAGCCCCCATTGTAGTTGAAGATCGAGAAGGGAGGGTTTTACATAGAGTGGGGAAGGTCAAGCTGCGGCATCATAATACGGTTGCAGAGTGAAAGAATGGCAATAATTGCATATCTTGTTGAGCACATTTCGGCCATTGAAAAATTCTTATTGGAGCCGAAACACTTTGCCAAAGCCCAACGTACAAACGTGGGAACGAGCAGATCAACGTGCACATCAACGTGCACATCCAATAAAAATATCTTCACGCTTCTTACCCGAACCAGAGATTCGCAAGGTAGACTTTGGCATATTGGATCATGGAGACTTTGGAAGTATCCAAATTCTCGATGGTCTGGACGCGTTGGAGAATATTTCGATGTAAGCAAGCCCAAATTAGAGATCTCTCTACTCTGGCAACGTCGGACTGAGCATTGAGTCAGCCGGGGTTGATGAGGGCCTTTGTTTGATGGATGCTTTGTGCCGGTATCTCGTGAATGACGGAGTTCGAAGCTTTGCCGTATCACGTGCCTATGTTCCGGGAATAAAATAGCACTGAACAGATCCCGAATACATAGTCTCATCTGCCTTCGCATTCATTGTCACGGAGTCGATCAGTTCCGCAGAGATCGTTAGGACTTACTGCATCCGGCGATGAGAGGCTCACTTCCACGTAAGATGGAGGCGGTAAACCAGTTTACTAATATACTGGGCTGGAACACGGATTCGGAACATTTCACGTGCCACTTTATTGACGAACTGATGTAATCTAAAGTTACTAATACATCGAATATGATAGGTTGTTCATTTCCGGTAGCCAAAGCATGCTTTAATGAGATATCTTAGATGAATGACACGAATTGAGAGTAAGACACCAGAAATTGATTAGAGTTCACTTTTCCTCCTGGTATTCTCGGCAACAATGTAGGAAGAGGTATCTATAGTAATACAAAAAAGAGAAAAAATGAAATCCGAACACCCTCATTCCTGTATCAATACTCCCGGATATCGTCGTCACGTCGTTAAAACAAGCACCTCAAATCACCGACCAGGCCGTCAGCGGCAACCTAACCTCTGTGCATCACACTATTTTCGTCGTCGGATCCGCATTCACATCCGTCGTAGTCTTTCCCTTCAAATAACTCCCAAAAAGCTCAGGCTCCTTGGCCGGCGGCATGTCACGGAGCGACGCCGGCACAGTTTCCACGTCCGTCGTCGTCTTGCCCTTGAGATAACTCCCAAAAATATCCGTCTGCTGCTGGTACTGCTCAATGAGCCCCTCCGTATCCAGCACGGGACTCTGCTGCGAAAAGGAAAAGGAACCGTTACTGCCTGCGCCACCGTTGGATAGCTCGAGGCACTCGTCGTCGTCGCGGCTCCGCGTCGTCTCGACTGTTTCGGTGGTGACTTTGACCTCGTGCGTGACAAAGATCATGCCCATGCTGTTTTGGAGGACGGGCCAGAAGACGGGGAGGGAGGCGCAGATGGCGGCCATGTCGATCTCGAGAATAGAGAGGGCCATGGGGCCTGGGGCGGCCCAGGTTGGGTCGAAGGTTGGGTAGGTTCCGGCGCGGGAGCGAACCAGGGATACGAGCCGCCAGGCAGAGAGCATCAGGACTCTATCATGCCGTTAGTCAGTAAATGAGGAAAGTGATGGTATCACTGTGTTCGGAAGCTATTCTAGATGAGAACTTACAGACTGCCCAGCAAAAAGAGACCGAGAACGGTCTTACGGGACCTCTTGTTGGCCTCGGTGTTGAAGTATAGCGGTAAAGGAATAGCAAAGATGATGAAGTCAAGAATCATGTTGCTCGTGGCGTGTGCCTCATATGTCCGTATCAATTCCTCCGCAACCTGCGTTCCGAACCCCCAGCGTCCGCGGGTGGGTATTGACCAGTCCCAGTAAGCTGCGACGGGAATGCATGGTACCCAGGCGAGAAACATGAAGGCGGCTCCCCACATTGCCACGAGGCAGATCATGATTATGGTGAGGATTCGTGATTTTGAACCACGCTCAAATATCCGTAGGTACTGGAGCAGGATGGCAACCTTGATTAAGGACGTTGAGATCGGTAATGTGCCGTTACAGATGTAGAAGATCTAGTATTAGGCGGTCAGACTGAGTTATTGATTACAAGGGAGAGAATCGGTTACCTTCATGAACTGAATGAACCTATCATACTGTATGAACAATATATGATCTCCGAGTCCATAGTCCATGCCTTATTCACTGATTAGCATGTGCTGCGGACTAAGCAGGCAGGAGAAGATGCAGGATGTTCTGACATACATATGCAAGTGCCAATACTTCCAACTGAGATTGAAATCATAACGAGCACCAAAAAGAAGTCATCCCATCCTACTGCTCGAACAATAAAGATGCGGGTCCATATTCGCATGCCAGCACATAGCAGTGCTAGTATCTGCATAACACATATTAGGATGATGTTCTGGGACAGTATAGCGTAAATATGCCCGGTACCAAGGAAGAGGAACCTACCAGGAATGATATCACGATGCCAAGCATAACCGGTTTTTGATTCAACGCAGGTCTTGGGTCGTTAAGGTTATTCACCTTGCCAACCAATTCCATAAAAGACGTCATGATGGAGGGTATACGAGTCCCAGTAAAGGGATATTCGTAACAACTGATTGGCTAAAACCACCTGCACATGAGGTCCCCGGGTCGAGATAGCCACGAGGTCGTCGTCGTTATCGCCGTCGTCGTTTGTCGAAAGGATGAGTCTGTGGGGGCGCCGGGGGGGGGGGGGGCTTGCAGACAGAAGAATCGACCACGAACAAGAGAAACCCATGTGGAACAACCCTCCAAAGGGGGCACTGCTGAGACCTTATGGGAACAAAAGCACTGGAAGCATCCGGTGTGGCTTTCGAAGAACAGTCAACCAGTAGAGCAAATCAAACACATGGCGCGCCGCCGCCTCTTTGCTGGACCAGTGGGACGTGTGGCTCGTCACACGGCAACGTCGAACCTCGCGGCCGGCAAATGCTCTCCTACGAATTTACCACAACACCCGTCCGGGAAGGCCTTCCTTCCAGTTCCTCAACCTAAACGAACCAGGACGCTCTCGAACTTGGTCTTTCCGGCTCCATCCCCCCACCTCACGAATGATTGACAGCCCTAATGCCTTCTGACGGGCGCATTCACGCGGGAAAGAAAAGGGGAAACCACCGTGCTCGCCATGGTCCCAAAGCTCCGGTTCGTGTTAGCGTCCGCCTCTCATGTCTCTAGCGCCTCCTGCCCACCAGTCTGCCTGCCCTCTCGCAAAGGTGGCTTGCCGCGAGGCTTGAGTCCGTTGCGCGTAGCTGGAGCGGCAATGAGTGAGGAGACTGAGAGGTTCGACGCATGCGGGGATTTGAGTGGCGGCGTGGATTAACCGACCCAGCCGCGTTGGGATAAGTCTATCTAAAAAAACGCCGCGGTTGTGTGTCGTGCTCGATTGGGAACCCATCATGTCTTGGTTTGGCAAAACAGAACCCCTATCGAAGGTTTGGATGCGAGGCCCAAGAATTAGCAAGAATTCTTTTCTTTCTTCTTCTTTCATTCTGTTTCCTGGGCAGAAAAAAGACGTTGAGAATCATTCTGCAAGGGCTTTGAGAAATAGGAGGACCTTTTTCTTGCTGGAACCGCCGATCTCGTTAACCGTTTTCAGTCAGCCTTGGGTCCTTTTCCTCAAGCCTTTTTGCTGATTGTGGCTGGAATGAGGAAAGGCCTGGATGACGGAACGCAAGCAAATGGCCTGATAAACCATCCTTCGCGCCCTGATCAACTGTCTTACATCGCTATTACCCATCGTTTCTGGGCAAGAGCTCTCTTACTCTTACTTTCTTTCATCCCTCCAAGTTTCTCCATGAACCGTTTTCCTTATTGTTCACCGGAGTCAATAACAACTTCCCCCTTGCTCGTGTGGCTTGCCCACTCTCCTCTTTTTCACATCCCTCCTACCTCACTTGCCGTGGTACCCAGGCACACCAGGAAATCCTTTGAGCTCGACTGCCGTCGAGAAATGTGGCGTATAGTTCTTCAAGAAAGCAGTCCGAGCGCCCCGCTATTACGCGTAGGATCGACAACAGACTCGTTCCTTATTCTTCCCGTGTGCCTGGGTCGTCTCTAGGGGTTTCGCAAGTGAGCTCGCGTAG